GAGTTATGTTAAAATTTAATATTTGTAATGGAACTTACTTCTTTTGGTCATTTGTTGTGTTCTCTATTTATCCTTTTATATGTTTTCATTAACTTCATTATATGGGAATGTCTATTAATGCTATCATGTTGCAAATTTGGTGAATATGCTTAATTCAATATACTATGTATTTCGTTGACCTATTTCTTCTTTCTTTTTGATGTTGTTAAAGGGGGAGAAGAGACCAACCAAAAATAAAAAATCATTTTATAATACTGATCAGATTGTTTCTAGATAAATGCATAAAGTGAGGGGGAGGATGATACTACACAATCTGCTCAATTGTTTTGCTATTGTTTTGCCATCATAAAAAATGAGGAGTATGTGAGAGCAAAGTGTCTCAATACTTGTTTATACTTGTTTTAATGATGTCAAAATATATATAGTTAGAAATGTGTACTTTGGACGGTATCATCAAGTCGCATACGCATTCGTTATTTTTCTCGTGTCAAGCATTTATCAAAAATATGTGTTAGTTCATATAGAAAAAGCATTTATCAAAAATAGGTTATATATACAGGTCTCAGTTCTATTTTTAGAATTGAGAGCAGACGTAGCCCGAGCGAGGACGACGGGGAAACTTCCTCAACAAATTGGTGTTATCTCTTTTTACTATTCTCATTGCTGAATTTTAAGTTTGTGTGCAAAAAAATTGGTTGACTAAAATTATGGTTTATGGTAGTGCTGAAACATATTTAGAAATCTCATTACAATCTGTTTGATTATAATCGGAAAAGCTTGACACTATATTTACTTAGTAATTTTACTTGGAGTGCTTCGCACATCAAGTGTTCGACAAATTGCTTGTATACAAATGTTTGAGGTGTTTTTCAATTTGGTTTATTTTTTAACAAGCATTGGAAATTGAATAACTTTGAGTGAACAAAATCTTATTGATTCGTGTTCAAATTATTGATTCAATTTCTCATCTGTATCGGTATTCCATATAGTTGTAGCGTATATCCGATTCTTTTGGTAACAGTTCGTTTAGACGATTGTAATTCCTCGGCCGCTTCCGCTTAAAACTTTTAAAAACCAATTTATTATAAGCACCAGCTCTGTTTAAGGATAAGTGATCTATTCAACCTCCTTATAGATCATTGTCGTCGTTTAACACTATATCATAGAGGAACAAAGCTTTGCGGTTTGACACATTACATTTGTTGTAATTTGTTTTGAAAAGTATATTAGTTATATGTAACTTGATACTTATTTTTTCAAGATTTGAAATTTATTTTAAGTTCAAAAAAATGGAGGATTTCTGAATCCACCCCTTGATACTCTTAGGCACCTAGTGAATTTATTTTTATTTCCCCCTGCTTCCAGAGATACACATCCGGACGCACCTTTTTTTGCCAAAATTTGGATGTTTCCGGAGCTACATCTATGGAATAGTTTTCTACTGGTATACGCTAGGAAAAACTTCAAAATAATTCAGTTAAGGGAAACTTTCATAGATGCACCTCCGGAACGTCTAAGCACCAGATTGTTCTGTAGATACAGCTCCGAAAGTTTCTACTATATTTAAAACCTACACGATCACTCCCTTCATTGTTGTGTTTTCTTCTTCCATACTCACCTTCACCAACCTAAAAAAACCTACATTATTAATATCATTTTCACTCCAAAACTCCAACTTTTTTGTGCAACAAATCAAAGGGAGCAAGAGAAGATCAAATTTCACGTAAAGATTGCACTTTGTCCACTGTATTGCTCACATTAATCATCAAACTTAAAAAGTATAAAAGTAAAGTTACTTTCGGAGCTGTACCTTCGAAACGTGTTGAAGATGAACACTTCCGGATGTACATATTTGGAACAATTGAGGAAGATTGCCTATCTTGAAACAACCGACATGAAACCACCTTCTCAACCGATAAAGACAAAAGGTGCTCTAAAGAAAATGAAGCCTACACCGAATGACAACTCGACTACACGGTCTCCTTCTTATTGTGAGCATGTTGACAAACTTTATCCCGACTCACCCACTCATAAATCTCAAAAAAAGTGTCATGAAAGGAGCCTGCATATGTAAACTGCCTCCGACCCCGATTCCATCGAAAATTTATTTCATCGATGAGGTACCGGTTTTTATGCACAAATACATCGACCGTATCGTCAATGTTGAAGGGGATGGTAATTGCGGTTACCGAGCCGTTTCGACTTTACTTGGTAAACGAGAGGATAGTCATGCAATTTTCCGTCATCAATTAATCAAAGAGTTGAAGACACATAAAGAATCGTACACGCGGTTGTATGAAAAGAAAGAAAAATCCAATGCAATTTATGAATCTCTTGTTCCTTACTTGAATGGTCTGACACTGGTGTCAAACTGGATGACCTTCCCTGATATGAGTCATCTTATTGCATGTGCATATGATAGGGTGTGAATTGACTTGACGCGATATGGGTTTTCGGAAACCTTTTTTTCCACTCTACACTGCACCACCTCAAAATCCAAATGATCACATCATATGTATTGGATGACTTACAAAATCAAGACATTTTGTACAAGTTTACTTGAAACCGGGATGCCCCATACCACCTACATCACTGAAATGGACGACTCATTCAACCGTAAATGTCGAGACATGGTCGAATCGTTTTGTTGAAAGGATGCACGAATTCAAAAGATTGAACAACGTTGAAAAGGAATCGAATGCGAAAAATTCCAAAGGGGTACCACCAATAGATTTAGCTGACGACACTTGTTTTGATTCATTTTGAAATCTTGTATAATCGAACGACTAATTGTAAAATTTTTGAAGTGCAAAATAGTCACTTTTTCTTATGCCTTATTTATGCACTTATGTCTTCTGTTTGTCTATTATGATGTGCTTCTATATTGAGTTTTGGTTTAAAAATGTAGTAGAAAAAGTTTCGGATATGTATATACGGAAGGTTCTTAATTTTGCAGTTTCGGAGATACACTTCCGGAACCAATAATTATGGGTTCATTCTGTGGATATAGCTCCGGAAAAAAGATTGGCAGAAAATGGTTGGTCCATATTCACCTAGGTTTTCTATAAATTTGGGGTTTCATTTGTTATCTTTCACACAAATACAAAAATGTCTCAATTGTTTGAAATCAAGCTCTGTTGGTATGTCGCAAGTGTTTTCTTTTCCAACGACAAAACATTCGGGAGGACATTCAAGCTCATGGATCTCACCCCCTCGCCGATATCATAGACGAGATCCAATATCACCTACCTTACAATGACAAACAAAAAGTTGTGAAACTTGAGTATCGTCCACCTTCAGTTGACAACGAAGGGAACGTTGTTTACAACAAGTTTGCTCAAAAATCAAGACGATGTTAGGGCGATGTGGCGAACGTATATCGATTTTAAAGAGAAAATTCTGCTCGAGTTAGAGGCGACGGTTTGAAGAACGGTCGATGGCATCTTAGAGATGTGCAAGCGTCCACTAGACTATTGAAATGTAGTGTTTACATTTTCTCTCAAAATCATCAATGTAACGTCAATTTTATTTTATAAATGTTGATTTTATCGTTACAATAGAAAACTCCGCTCGAGTTGGAAGCGACGGTTCGAAGAACGGCCGACGGCATCTTAGAGATGTGCAAGCGTCCACTAGACTATTGAAATGTAATATTTAAATTTCTGTCAAAATCATCAATGTAACGCCAATTTTATTTTATAAATGTTGATTTTCTGATTTTTTTTATTATTGGGTTTCTTTCATATATACGCATATAGAAGTATTCCGTAAATTTATCTACGAAATTAACTAAAAAAACTGGAAAAAAAGTGCTTCCGAATATACATATCCAAAATCAAAAAGATATTTTTATCAGCACGCATGATGTCTAAAAAACTCAAAAAATACCATAAGAAATTCTCAAAAAATAAAGTCCAAACCCTTGCCTCACTAGTCTTGGGCTTGGACCAACTCTGTTAACACATTTATGGAAACCAGTTCCTTTTGATCCAAAGTTAGCACAAATTTATTAAAAAGAATGAAAAACAAATGTGAAGAGATGTTCAAACAGATGTTGGAAAGTTTGGAAACAAGAAACAAAACAAAAGAAGCTGCTTGTCACAGACGTTGTGAGATACAATTCTAAAGAACTTAACACCCACTGTTTAGTATCAGGAATTTTTTGTTGTATACAAAAATCTTTTAAAGTACACAAGTTCAAAGTAGAAGTCTCCGCCCACTCAGCATCTTTATCCTCCTTAAGCTAATGAGCCCAAAACCATAGTGCCAACAAAACATATGAAGAATGAGTTGCTTTTATACTTGAACTAATAACAAAACACTCAGTTGAACGGTAAGGAAGTCCAACGGAATTGTTGCATGGTTTTGTGAGAAGGTGACAGAGTTGAGGTGAAGTACCACGACTTGCAGATCTTTCTGGCACTGTGTAATAACAGTTATAAAGACAGAGGGGTGGCAAGAGAGGTTGGTGGCAAAGGGAGTATCCATACAGTAGTGCATAGAAACCTCCACTGCGCATTCCTAATATTAAATGTCAGTCCCCCCCTAAGAAGAAACACACCTTATGCATTTGGCTCTAAAATCAATGAATGAGTGAACGTATCCGAGTTTGTTTTTATTTAGCATTATCTGATAGCTGAGTTAGGAAGTTGTCAGTTTGCCTTTGAAAACAGGTAAATATGATAAAACTTTCATTACTGGTCTCTAATTTCTCGAAAATTTAACATCAACTGAGCAAGTAGAAAGCAATGGTTTCCATCATGATGGACACAATGACCCCCTAAGCTATCATTCTTTGCACTTGTACCAAAATCGAAGCTATAACCTAATAAATGGGGATAAAATCTACTAAACCGGATGAAAAAAATATTGTTCCATATCCTGTCACACTGTAAATACAAAATGGCACTTGATGACATGGAACACATACAATTTGGGTTTTGTATGACATGAATTTTCAATATACAACAAAATCCAGATTTCTCACCACTATGGATTGTTCAATCACCTTTATTTGTGCAATCTATTTTTCTCTGTTTAGCAGCAAGTCGCGGTCTCAGCTGTACGGCAAGTTGGGAAACACAAGTAGGAAAGGGGAACAAATTAAAAAATATATCATGATTATTGTAAAATATGTTTCAAGCTTTCACAGCATACGCACAGAAGTACAACCAAGAAATGCTCACCACAGATTATTTTGACTAGTAACTAGTAAGAATTATGCAGTTTAAAACATACCATTTCTATATACTTCAGTTGCTTTTGAATTTCATCCGTCTCCACCTCCTGCAGGACGAAGTAAAATATTGTTCAAAGCTATACCAAATTACACCGGAACAGAAAAGGACATACGCGCTTGAATTGTAGAAACCCAGCTGGTAGATGGAATTGAAAGATAATAGGAGAATAGATTACTGTTTAAAATTAAACAATATCAATGAATGAATTTTTGTTGCACATACAGTTAGGGAGCAGCTATTTATATACTAATTCTGACTAACAAGTGTCAGTTACAAATGATGTAACTAACTGGAGGCATTATACTCTAAAACCCCCCTGCAAGTTCAACTGGGTGGCTGCATGAGTTGTACATGGTGTGAGCTTGTCTCTAAAGCCTTCAAAATTGATCCGGCACAAGCATAACTACAAGCTGCTTTTGAATGACCTTTTTCACAATTGTTGTCCTATTTTAACGCATCATCAATTCTCATACAATTTCCTTCAACTCTTAACTCTAAATCTATCAGAAAGCCTAGAGTTAAATATATTTCACCTGAGGTACAGAACAATCAGCATGACATGGATCCCAATGAATAGCACAGAAGCACTCCCAGCCATTGGTTTGAACTTCAAATAGTGGAGCCCTGGCAAATAAAACAAAAATTAGATTACGGTGTTAAGGGCACAATCAACTATAGATTCATTAGCACCCCTCACCATCTTTCTCTATTATATATGAATCATCTTCATTGGGAAAGCAGCAAAATAAAATTAAAAATTAAAAAATTAAAAAAAGGATAATAACAAGTTATCTGATTATAAGGAAAGGTGCAATAAAAACATTTCAATAAAGATTATGGGGAAAAAGTGTGCTACTCAAGGGGGGACGGAGTTTAAATCCCATTGGAGACAATAATAAAGAAATGTCACTTTAATTAATATATTGTTGTAAATAGTGCATATTTATGATTATTAATAATAATTGTATTCAGCCTATTAACCGGACTCATTAGTACATGTACTTTATTCATAAAGTTGAAGCATCTTTGAGCATGTAAGTATTAATTTTTACTAGGAATAGGATATTAAAGTATCTTACATTCAAGTATTATTAAATTAATACTTCAAATTATTGTATTTTAGATTCATTCCAAGAAGCGAAATAAGTTGGAGCATCAAAGGTTGCAAGACTTGGTTTTCATCAAGTATAACCAAGTTTTGATTGAAAGATTTGAAATCCGGGACAAGATTGATCCTATGGAATTGGGTGAAATTAATTATCACACTCAATAGTAGGTGGAAGAGATGGGAGAGATAGGAGAAGATGGTGAACCTTTAGAAGAAGACTTGGTTCATGAAAATGATGATTTAACTTGGGCTTAAGATGCCGAAGCAAGTGGGGTTAATGAGCCTATAATCACACTAGGAGGTCAAGGCTACTCGAAGTTGCAAGTACATCTAGGAATAAAGAAGTGGTGGTAGAAGATGTTGAAGAAGATGATGATGATAATGAAGATGAAGTATTGGAGGAATATTTTGATGATCTATGAAGAATAAATCTTTGATGATGATCTTTGATTTTTATGTTTGCTTGAATTTTCATATAATAGTTCTAAGTTTGAATTTTAAGATGTGATGTTTTGAATCTTCTACTATGTTTTGAATCTTGATTAAGCATTGTTATTTGACATTAGATTTTATAAATCTTTTGAGTGTTGTGTTTTTTGTTTAGTTTTACATTAAGTATATGACATATTTTTATAGATTACTATATAATTATTAGTACAAAAACTTATCCCGCTATCTGCTAGAGGGAGGGACATTGGAGTAACCTTATAATTTCCCTATCTATTTTTGTTTTATATTTATTTATTTTTATTAAAATAATACTCTCAGAATTTTTTTTTTCTTTTAGATTTAGAATATTCCTTTTTTTATATGAATCTTCCTTATTCATTTTTATATGAAGAATGAAATTTAACATTATTCCTTTTTTTTCTAATAGAATACAAAAAGATCAGGTGCAAACACTCAAATTCTCACTCAACTATTTGCATCTCCTTTTGGTTCTTCACAATTTTTAGAGTTGATAGGTCAACCTTAGTCAGTTAGTTGGTTAGTAGGTTAATTAGGAAGTTAGTTAGGGAAAATAATGCATGTATAAATACGAAAGGGGATTGAGAATGAGGAGTATTTATTCATTTGAAATAGACTTGGGGCTTTTGGCCATTAAGAGGTTCAGCCAGACAAGGGAACCAGGGAACTTTCATATTCTTTACAATAAAAGTACCAAAAGTGGTATCAAATCACTTTCCATTTCTAAGATACTATTGGATCCAATATAGGCTGAAAAGGTGTTTATATGTGTGAAACACACGTCACCTTGCAAATCGATTTTTGTAGTAGGGTTGAGTTAGACCTAACCCATTTTCTAAGATTTTCCAACAAAGATACCAATTTCGGTCATAATATTGGCTTGTTCTGTACAAAAAATTTATATTTTTCAATAAACATCAATTTGTTGTTAGAACAACAGGAGATAACTCAAATCCTGCTCTTAACCCGAAGTCTTAACAGCCCTAATTATCAACATTCAGCGATTACCTAACAGAGTAAGGCTCCGGTCCAACCCTTCAAATAAAGGGTAGGAATTATCGATCATCAAGAAATACTGTTATTTGGGTTTTGTGTAACTGCTACATGATACCCTTGAGAAGTAATCGTGAGTGAAGTTTGAATTCAACCAATTTACAAATTTTTTCTGTTCTTGTTTAATGAACAAAGAAGTTTTGAATAGGAAGATCATTCTAGAAAAGAAGTTACAAGATCAATCAAGAGCAAGAACAAAGTTATGCGACTTACCTGCGCCATTTTCCACATATTGTTTCGCTAGTTTTATCTATAACCTCCTGGCATTGAAGCCAATTGCCAATGGTGAGTCTAATTGGATTTCTCATATTTTCTTCCTGCAGAATAGAAAATTTGTTTGCTTCACTCTGAGGATCAAGAAAAAGTGTTGTAAATCATAAAAGTAAAAAAAACCACAACCTTTACCTGTGTTCTATAAAACTCTGAAGGATTAATTTCCAATGGTTCTGGAAAGTCGTCTTCATCACTGAGAGAAAAACAAAATGATAATCACAGGTTTTAGAATCTGTTTATTTCCTTTCCTGTCAAGGCTGATCTAGTATATATGTAAATCTAACATATTTTTGTCTTAGAATTATTAGCAAACTACATTATCATATTTTAAATTTTAAGAAGCTTGCGATAATACACTCATGAATTTATTGCCCAAGGTCACCCAAAGTAAATATATCTTATATCAACATTATCATTAAATCATCCACATATGTTAACTTTTGCTGACCCGTCTAGCCTTCTAGAGGGAAAATTAGAGCAATGTGTAGACTAAGTGAATAACAATTATTAAAAAAAGAAAATGATGACATGCTAATATGGTATTAAAAGATAATAATAATGCATTCTTTAAGCCAAGTGAATTGTTTTTAAAAAGGAATACAAAATAGAAATTGAGCATTGATAAAAAAAAAAATCAGTTTTTTATATGTTATTTTCTCTGCAACTAACATCTGGCAATATTTGACTCCCCAGTGAATAATTTGTTAACATAAAATAAACATAGTAAAAGCTATATTTAAAGCAATTTAAGAAAATCCAGTATAATTGATGGGTATCGTACAATTTTTGCTTCGAACAGTTGTGGTTCATTAAAACGGAAGTTACCTTTTTACAGGGCTTGACCAGTCAGGTACTGCAGCTTGAAAACCTTTACCAACTCGCACACCACTTGTATATGGCTCAGTGTCTCTCAACATCAACAGCATGGGATTCATTTCACCCTTAATGGAGACAGTTCTACATTTCCTCATTTCACTATTGATGCCTGGTGATTTGGTAATTGTCTCCTTAAGAATTTTCTGCCTTTTATTAAGACACGAATGACAAAACCATTCATCAATTGGTATTTTTTTCAAACGTGAATTGTAGCAATATGGATGATATGAATCTTCACAATGATCACATAAAAGCATTTTCACTGAACTGTCCAAATGACCACATATTTTGCATGACCTGGAACAGTAGTTATTACCAATGGTAACAGCATCTTCACCGGAAACCACATTATCTGTAAGAGTGTCTCCTCTAAGAAGTCCGTGGCTTCTTAAAATATTAACACAGAACTCTTTTTCTGTTAAATCTTCACTTGCAGCATCCATTCCTATTACACCGGAGGAAGAGCATTCGCCAGAGTTATCCATCTCAGTATCTAAGGAATCTGAAACAAGTGCCATATTTGACTTTGAAGAGGAACAACTATCATTTACACTGCCAATACCTAATTTTTTCTGTGTGATATCTTTGGCTGCTTCTTCAAGTAAGACAGAAGGCAGAGTAGGTTCTTTGACCATTTCAATTTGATGCTCAACTCTAAAACCAGTTGTTTGATCCTCACCTGATGATAAATGCAAAGTGGAACTTATGACTGAAGGGATATTGGCAATTGTCACATCAGTTGGCCCAAGCTTGAAAAGAGGGGCAGTTGATCCCTTGCGTAGCTTTTTTCTCCTGTATACAAGATTAGGCGCAGTCTTTTCAGTCATTATACTTGCAGTTGATGGTTGACCAGAGCTTCTTACACAGTTTGAGTTGTAAGGATCATCAGCATTCCTTCTATCCTCTTCCATTGGATTAGCTTTTTTACACCAGTCAATAGGGTACTCGTTGCATTTCAGACAAACCTGCCAAGTTTCATTACTAGGTATCCCATCACGTTGAAAATCTTTCCCATCATTATATACATTACATAGACCAGCTTCAACTGAACTAAGAGAACTTTGTATTAACATTAAAAGAGAATGTTGTATATTTCTACAAAGCTCCAGCGATAAGGAGTTCAGATAATAGTGGCATTTTCATGTATCAAATTCAAGATTGTTGAACCACTAGAAGCAAATTTGTCAATTTCATTCAGTCAACACACAATAATGGCCACCTGATTTGAAAATAGCAAATAAAGTAGGGAAAATAATAAGATAGAAGTACAAAAAGGCAAACAGATTTGCAATCATAAATAAGACCAATATATTTTTCATTAAGCAAAATATATGACTCAAATTTTAAATTACTGTAAACTTGAAAACTTCAAAATTACAAGATGGAAGCTATCATGATACAAGCTTAAAAACTCAAAATTGTATGGTATAAGTGTATATTAGAAGATAAGGTGATCAGTGCATCTTTATGCACATTCTCCTATATTTTTACTTAGGCATTTATTTACTTTATTTTGATTATTCTTATGTTTTATTATGTTTTTATATTTTATTTTATTTTTGGTTTAATTTGATTTTCGCCTTTATTTTTCAGCTTTAGCAGTCTGCGCGGAAACGATCATAACTGAAGTTCCGGGAATCCGTTTGAGGCGTTCTGAAAATCGCCGGAAAGCTAAGAGAGAGAGCTACGACTTTCGTGTTGGAGTCGAAGTCAGATTCGGAGCACATTTTCCCAAAATATTCGTTGAAGTTACAGCATTAGGAATTTGTTTTAATTTTGGGTCATGTTTTGGGTTTGGGTTATATTTTCGACCCAGTTGGGTTTTGAACCGGATCCATTGTTTTTCTTTTTAGGGGAAACCTTGTTTTACGGTTAATTATATACTATTCACGGAAAAAATGGAGAGAGGTTTGAGAAAAACTCATGGAAAACTAATACCTCCGGGCAAATCCTGGTGTGTACGGTTTCAACACTTTGAGGTTATTATAATATCAATTTAAATCTGATTCCTTTCAATCATTTTCTATGAAGTCATTTGCTTAATTTGATTGCAATTGTTTGCTTAATTCAATTGTTGTTCATAGGAAAGAATTGATTAAATTCGATTGTATGCATGTTCCTAAATTTAATTGCGTGTTATCGTTTGCTTAATTCGTTAATTCGTCATATTCTTAACCGTTTGCTTAATTAACATAATTCATTTGATGTTGGTAAGCGCTTGTCTGATTAATATCATAATCAAATAGGATTAGAGCCGTTTAGGGATTGATGTTATAATAGCCGATGATAAGTCGGAACCCGAATCAGTAGGATTAGCCGTTTTAGCTTATTTTAATAATCATTTTTTTTATAGTCACTTATTTTAAGTATTTTTTCTCTTAATCAAAATTCAAGCCCCCATAAACTGTTACTTTATTGGTCAATCACTACAAGAATCCTTGAGAACGATATTCTGAGTTACTGTCGCTGTACTTTAATTTTTACAAAAAGACTCGTTTTTGATCCGCGCGCGACAGCGGATCATAAGGCTCAACTAACAATTAGTTAGTTGAAATCCTCTCAGTTTAAGTTTAAGATCTTATTGTACTCCTATCATACACCTATTATACCATATCTCTCTTATGTAACCAATCCCTAGATTCTAGAAACGAACAAAAAATTAGTTAGAACTATGAGTATTCCCACCGAGCCATAAATAGATCAATTAGGTTGTAATTGAATCAAATCATAGTTTCGAATATCAAAGTAATACAAAGATTCAGTTAGAGTTTCTCCTATTCACGCCTTGAATCCATGATATTCATAGAATTCTAACCTAGTATCAGAACCTATCAATCGGGTCACTCACCATTTATGTCCACGCATTAAGCTCCACGGTGTTGGCCGTGAAAGGGATGTATTTGAAAAAATCCAAATTCTGACACCCCTCACCTTACAAGTCAGGTTTGTAAGGATAAGTAAGGGCAGATGTATAAACACATCACGCTATTAGTAGAATCTCCCTTTGTTCCTAAGGCCTCTAGCATTGGATTGTTTTTTCCAACAAACAAACATTGGATTGTTTTTTCCAACAAACAAACACTCCTTCCTTGTAATCTCTCAAAAACTATATTCAGAGAACTATCTTCCCTAGTGACAGCCTACGGTCAAGGATCACAAGCTGTCAATTTCAATCAAGTATCATACAATTGATGATGATGATGCAAATCACATATCTCAAATGTGCGAGGCTTTGAACTACAGGATCAAATCCTCCATGTGTGGCTGCAATCCACAATTTCTTGTGAAATGCTTACTCATGTGATTGGGATGCAAAAGCTTGTGGATCCTATGAGGCAAGTTCCATGCATATTTTCAATAGCAGACAAATGCATATAAGTGCCAACTCTGATCAAAGCTCCGTCACACTCGCTTGGAAAATTGCAAGAACTTTGTGTCTGAACTTCTTCTCAAGTTAATCAAATGGCTTAATAAATGGAAAATTCAGATTTGTTTCGGTAGAAGAGGTTGAAACCTTGTTGCTATGTTACGAAGCTCATTTTGATCCATTTTACAAGCAAACTATTGTAGCTGTAAATATGAATCTCACGGTATCTTCTACGACATTGAATCCCACAATGGTATCCACGCCCAATGATACTTCCTCTCTTAAGGTGAGCTAAACTCAACCCGCACCTCCAAACTCTGATGATTTTTGATATGTTGGCCCACAACTCTCGGGGTAAACGTGGTGGATGTGGTTGTGGTTGTTGTGGTTGTTGTGGTAACCCTGTTCAATTCCAATTATGCCAAAAAAATATGACCAAGATGCCTCGATTTGCTATCACCGCTTCAAGCATGGTACCTCGATCACCTATCATCGCTTCAAGAAAGAGAAGTTGGTTCTATCAGACTATGTTCCTTCAACACCTTTGGAGAAACCATAAGTGTATCTCAAAGCACATCACAGTCAAGAGCTCTGTTACCACAAGCATACTTCGCTCCTATGACATGGCCTTACTCTATTTAGAGCTACTTTGGTTCATAATGCCATGTTTTGTTTCCCTCCACGTCCTTGCCTATTAGGATGCCACATATGATGCTTATGCCATCTCCACACACTCTACTCCCATGGCACCTCAAAACAAACCTTAAGCTTTGCGTGCTGTTGAGTATTCTCTATTTATTAGCTAAATATTCTCTATTTGTTATATTCAACACTTGTCATCTCTAATGTTGGTTCTTTTGTGAGTCGATACTCTAATTCAAGTGATTTTCATCATGTCACCTCCAATGGCCTCAACGTTCATCAACAATCTCCAATTGAAGGCCGTGAACAGATCTTTATTGGCAATGGCCAAGTCTTGTCAGTTTTCTTTATAAGTTTAACGACTTCCACATCTCCTTTTAGCCTTAAGTTCACACTCTCTACACAATCTCCTTCAAGTATCTACTTGGCATTTAGTAAGTGACAGACAATTTGTTAAGGATAATATTGTTTTCTTCAAGTTCCATCCTAACACAAGTCTTGTGAAATCTCAGACTATCAAGGAAACTTTCCTTTTAGCCTAGCTTGGCAACGAGGGCCTTTACATGTTTCCATACTTAGTTTCACAGTCAACTACTCCTACTATAGCTCCTACATTCTATTAATTATGTTCCTAGCTGTTTGAATAATTCCTTTTCTCTATGGGCCTAAAGACTTCGTCATCCACGTGTGGATGTCCAAAGGACTATACTAAACCATTGCAACATCATTTTTTCTAATGAAGGAGCTCTAGATTTTTGCTCTTGTTGTTTATGGAGGGCGCATTAAGTCTCATCACACCTCTCCACCACTATTTAAACCTCACCACTTGAACTCATTTGTATTTGCAGTGGACTATTCGGTACCATCCTCGAATGGTTTTCAATATTATATACTTGTAGATGCTTTCACACATTTTACTTAGATATACTTCCTAAAAAGAAAATCAACAGCTATAACCATCTTTGAGCAATTCACAATTAGATATTAACCAATTGTATGAGTCTAACACAATCATGGTTGAGCTTCAATTTCTCTTTAAAATCAAGCCAATCCAAATTGGATGTGGTGGAGAATTTTGTCCCTTTACTCGACTTCTCGTGTTTGGAATTCATTGTCATGTCATTTGCCCCCACACTCACCAACAACAACAACTAAGCCTTATCGCACTAAGTGGGATCGGCTACAATGATAAATTTTTGCCATAATATTCTATTCAAGACCATACTTCTATCCAAATTGTTAATCTTGAGATCTTTCTTAATAATTTTTTTTATAGTTTTTCTAGGTCTTCCTTTACCATTAGTTGTTTGACTCCTCTCCATATGATTTACTCTCCTTACCACAAAATCTACATGTCTTTTCTCTATATACCTAAACCACCTAAGTCTATTTTCCACCATCTTTTCTACTATAGGTGTTACCCCAACACTCTCTAATATTGTCATTTCTAACCTTATATTGTCTAATCTTACAACACATTCAACACAACATCTTCATTTTTGCTACATTTACTTTATTCTCGTGTTGATTTTTTACCGTCCAACATTTTATCTAGTGCAACATCGCAGGTTTTACTGCAGTCCGTTATTTAAGTGCAACATCTCTCTAAGCACTCTAGCGTACGTCTTCTCCAAGTCAATAAAAATTAAGTGCAAGTCTTGTTGGTCCATCTAATATTGCTTCATTACACGTTGTAGTGGATAGATGTCTTCTGTGGTCGACCTCTCAGACATAAAATCAAATTGATTCTTAGTGACTTGAGTTTATTTTTTAAGTCTCCATTCAATCACTTTTTTCTCATAACTTCATGGTATTATTACTCATAAATTTAATCCACCTATAATTTTCACAATTTTGTATATCCCCCTATTCTATTAGTTGGAACTAAAATGTTTCTTCTTCATTCATTCGACATTTGTTTTGACTTCATAATTTCGTTAAAGAGTTTGATGAGTCACTCAATACCTCTATCTATAAGAATTTTCCACACTTCAATAAGTATGTTGTCTAGTCCAGCTGCCTTATTTTTAATCATTCTATTCAATACTTCTTTTACCACCTCTG